CATAAAATCGCCAAATTTACTTCTTCACGTGCACTACCTATATTCTCATGTATTTGATTTTTCCGCTTCCCTTACATGCTTTCAGATTCATCACCTCAGTTCAATAAACATATTTCGAGTCCACAGACAGTCTTCAATTTTGTCGTTTTTCCTCATATCTCACCTTCTGTTTCTTGCTTTTAGTTGGAAATATTTCCGTACTCCACTTTCTCCTCTCCTACGGCTTCTTCCGGCTTCCTGCTTCGCTCACCCTATTCTCGGTTCTCGTCCTCGTTTATCCCTGTCGGCGTTCCCCATTTCCCTCGTATAGGGGGTTCCCCATTACTCCCGATATTTCTCTCTGTTTTCCCTTTGCCCTCTCCCTAAGAGCATATCAGCCGCGTTCACGGGAAAGGGGGGGGGGGGGGGGTGAGATACTTCCTTACGCGCTGTGCCCGGATAGTATTTTCCCCTAGGCTTTCTTCTTTTCCCGCGGGTGTATGTTTCATTGTTCCCTAAGCCATGTTTATTTTCCCTTTCTTTCCTTCCTCTGCGACGCCGCGGTCACTGCCTCCGCTCGGCGGAGTAATGCGTATCATCCCATTGCCGGACATTCGGGCGACGATTACCCCAGCTTCTTTTTCCTGCGGTGTGCGGGCAACGTCGCGGAAGCGTTACTTTATCTTTGGTGTCGTCCAGATGCGCTAACACCGACAGAGAAAAATTAAGGTGGAAGGGGTTAGGTGGGACGAAGGGTTGCCATAGAAGTGAACGGGACTTGTTTGTTGATCTTACGTGGTGCTCGCAAGTACCACGTTGCCTCGAGTTCCATTCACGAAGTAAAGGCTTCGTACTAATTGATCCCATAACATGCATCGCCACGAGGGATGTGACTGGTGTCCGGTAGAAGCGTTAAGCGTGTATTGCTCACGACAAACAAAAACGACGCATCGCGGATCGGCCACTTTCCATCGCGAATGTAACGGCAGTGGTCGGAACCAGATTCTAACATTTCGGACTTTGCCACGGTTTATTTCAAAAGTGAAATGTAATTTTCGGTATTTTTGAAAGAGAAAATGGCGGCCTACGAAGCCAACGAAATGTACTGACACGAATGGCGTTTGCTACCGGACACGGGCCACAATTTGGTATTGAACATTTTCGAAAATCGATTATAGCATTTAAATGAGGTAACGTCAAGCTCTTAAACTTTGGCGTAGGTCCCCCAAGCTCTACTTCTACGTTAGGGCGAAGGGTGGGCGTTTTGCGATTTTCAACTTATCTCGATTATTTATTTTTTTACACACACGTCCGGTAGGTTGTCTCGTAACGTAATATTGAAAACTCTTTGGTTACCCCAAAGACAAAAAAATCGAATGCCAACATCACTTAATCACCGCGACACACTTAGTGAGGTACTACCATGGTGGTCACAAAGCAACAGCTCGCTTTTGCTTTGTGGTATTCCCTGGTCGGTATTGTTTACGTTGACGCGGCATGTTTGCTGTAATTAATGCCAACGTTAATTTGTTCTAACGTTTTATTCGATGCAAAACAGAAAGACTTATACCGGGTGGGAGTGAGCACACTAAGCATGTTTGTCAGCGTCAGCGGTATTTGTTGTCTTTGAATTTGAATCTGGAACTAAAAATGTGGTTCAAAAATAAAACTGCACCGCATTTCTTTGTCCCTGTTCCTGGTTTAACACTGGTAAGACGTGCATCAATCAGCTCGTAAACAACGATGACGAAATACGCTTGGAAGATCACTACCGTGGTAAACACGGTGGGTTTGCGAGTAATTGTGACGTTACTGTGCGTGCAATAGAGTAATAGGAAAAACATATTATCGTCTTTTATTCTCACATTCTCGAAGGATGCTTTGGCATCTAGCCGTTAACCAACTGAACTCGACAAAAAGGAAGCTCGCGCCTCTCGAAACGTGCTATGAAACCTGACGCAACCTAGTGGCTAAAACGCGCAACATAGATGCGGGGACGGGAAGACACTTAATTAGAGCACCGATGAGCCTCTTAGCTATACAATTAGCCTCCACTATAATCACTAAAAGCTTTAAAAAAACGGCGTGCCGAATTTTGAGCATTTTATTATCGCTCAGCAACGAATGATGTTGCAGAATTGAGCAATAGACACGGCGAAAAAAAAAAATGAACCAATACGGGTGAACCTAGTACGACATGTCCCGCGGTTTCTTTAACTGTAAGTGGTTACATACTCAATGAAAACTTAAGGAACGCCAAACGCAGTTTGATTATGTTCACGTTTGTTCTCTGTGATTGGTTCTCCGGCGTGGTCTTTATCGGCTAAAGCCTCAATCTGATTCACTGCAGAGAGCGGTAATGACATGTTCGAAAGTCGACACGCCAGGCGCTTTTTTAAGTTGCGAGCGAGCGACTTCAAAACTGCGAATAATCGCTTCCTGAGTCCCTGCATTCTGTTCTGTCCGTAATGCACTCCGTTCGTAACCCGCAAGGGGCTCAACGACACCGCTGTTTCGGGAATCATTTCGAACAGTCATTACGGCTAGCCCTTTAAAAAAAATCGTGTTTATACATGCGAGTTTTTAGGTTCATTGCCCGATACCACCGCGCAATTTAATCTTTTACAGCGGGCAGTTGGGCTAAGTTTACTCCAAGATGATATTAGTCGACTTGTCGGGGGAATCCCGCGGGTATATGGACTGCGCACCCTTTTGCATCTGAATCGTGATGCAACGAGAGAATTAGATGGAAAGAGAATCGACTGTACCGTTCAATCGACACAAATTCACTTATAGGCGGATAAGTAATTGGTCGGTCAATTCATGCGTGAACGTAAACGTAACTCTGTTGTTTACTCTGGTTCGATCAACGCGGAGATATGGAGTCCGGGCGTACGTCTCTCTCGCCTACACGCGTCCCTTGTTGCATTGATATATACGCCATTACGCGCCGAAGGGAACATTCATTAACTTTAGGGGTACTCTGTTTCACTTTAAGTCCGACCTCAACCGACGCTATGGCTCAATGAATCGTGACGTGACGTGACGTCATGGCGCATTCGCTGTGCGTGGTTGGTTCATGGTCCGCGGTATAGCAAACGCACAAAGGCGACGAGCGGCGTGACGGTGCACTTTTGGTGCTGCTTGATTGGCCGCATTGAATTGAAGCGTGGGTTGCTGTCGTACCTTAAAAGCAACATCTTTTAGATAAGAAAGCCCAAGTGGCGAAGTTTCTTGGCGTGAGTTAGAAAGGACGCCGTACACGCAGGGATTTGCCACCACTGCGGCGTCAGCGGTCGGTTCGGCTGGTGCTCGGGTTCTCACTGATTGGGCACCGACTGACTGATTGAACCGATTGGAGTTCTAGCCGAATGCTGACGCAGCACTTTGTGTCCAATGGGTGCTCCGCGATGGCCTTTCAAATTGACGCGAGAAAACATTGGGTATTCGTTCCCAGTTAGCACCACGGGGGCACAAGAATTAAAGAAAGAGTAAAGACACTCAGGGACAACAGCAGACAACACAGTTCTTTCGACATAGTAAGGAACATTTAGTGATGATTCCTTCCATACTTTTAAGGTGAAAGCCTCACTTGTCTCATTAGGTGAAAAGTTGTCGCCGTTGTCCCCGAAGGATGGTCATAAAACTACGTCATCAAGCAGGCGCCTCAGAAATAAATACAAAGAAAAGCACAGCCACGCCGCTGCCTCGTCATAGTAGCCGGCGGGCGCTCTCAAGGTCAAAGTGCACGCGCTTCAGAAATAAAACTCAAAGAAAAGCACAGCAACGCAGATGCTTTGTCACGGAAGCCGTCGTGAAGCAGGCCAGGTTCGCCACGCCTGCGCAGTGGGGGAGTGATTTCACCGCCGGAGCGCCATTTGCAAAAGAACGACGCGGCGCGCTGCTTGTGAGAATGCGTTGCGTGTAGGAATGCTCTGGCATTCCTACACGTAAGCAGTCTTAGGTCTCTTTGGCGAGTTTTTTTTTTATTGTATTTTCACCAACCCGCTTTGTGCTTTTTGTATAACTTGACACCAGCTTGGTAATCCTAGGGGTCTACCTTAGGCCTAATACGGTTTTGCTCTAAAGCGCGAAACACATGTACGACGAAACCGTCCGATCCGACGCCCGACCGCGCAATACGACGGTCGGAGGCGAGGGTTTTCCACGCTCTCCGATGCTACGAAAACCCTCTCCCCCTAAAGTCATTCCGGCAGTCCGCACGTCGGATCGGTACCAGACATTAGTCAAAGCTTGCCACGTATAAACCGAAGAAACAGCTGTAAAGTCAAAATCTGGAAATTGTTTGACGATTTAGGCCCAATAGTTGCCTCATGAAAACCGAACAATCGGAAGTGAAGCTTAATGTTGACACTTTGTTTGGCAATATAAGCCCAAAGATACCATATGTGAGCTATGCTATTGATAGTGAAGCTTAACTTTTGCACTTATCTGGCGAACTAGGGCCAAGATACCCAAAGTCTGGCCACTTTAAGACTTTTTAAGATCCTCCGTTCCCAGAGAGTGACCATAATCTGGTCCAAAGGACTTTGCTATCTGGGAAGATTTTATTTGTATCTAAGAGGTGTTGCCTAAAAGGAAACGGAGCACAACAGAAAGACATGAATGCACTCTTCAAAACCACAAGTTGTCACCTACAGACGCCAGAACACGTGCACCTCGAAACACTTAAACGAGGTTGGAGGTAAAGTGGCCGATATGTTGACTTTCATATCAGCAAATTTGAAGGCATCTTTTAATAATAATGATACTTTATTAATTCGTTTTAATGTCTTAAACAATAATGTATAAGCGAAAAGACGGTGAGAGTGCAGGCGAGCTGGTGGTAGCTAATCATGTCGTATTACACCTGAGACTGCGGTGGAAGAAATCGGAATAACTTTCTGTAGAAGGAACAGACACAGAGAACGTCTCAATCTTTTTGAGACGTTCTTTGTGTCTGTTCCTTCTACTGAAAGTTCTTCCGATTTCTTCCACCGCAGTCTCAGGTGTAATACGACATGAATGTATAAGCCTTCTTATTTGAAGGCTTTATAGTACCTGGCATTGCGAGGGCGACAGAGAATCAGTGCGTCAGGTAATATTGTCTCGATTACGTTGCTAGTAAGTTCTCAGCTAGTCCTAAATTTCTGCTACCAGGTTGTTTACTTGTTGTTTTGTTTCTTTGGACGCTTAGGCACGAGGAGCAACCCGTCCAAGATCTCCCAGACGGAGCCCGAGTTCGCGGAGCCCATCCAGAATATCACCGTGCCCGCCGGACGTAAGGTTACTCTGGCCTGCGTGGTGGACAACCTCAACAACTACAGGGTGAGTCAGACTGCTCCTAATATAGTGTAGAACACCAAGGCAGCACGCCATAAAGAACGCTTAACTTGGACTATGTTTGGCGATCCCAACGGCCTAACTTTTTTTTTAAAGGTTTTTATGGTTTTGATTTTGCTCGGCAAACAATTTCCAAAGTGCCAGACGTGAGCCAAATATGGCACATATGAACCGAAGAACAAGTAGTGGAGCGTGCATTTTCGGCACTTGGTTTGGAAATTTAGGCCCAAGCTAGTCGCGCGAAACGGAATACCTAGAAGGGAAGCCTACCTTTTGCACTTATATGGCAATTAATGCCCCAAAGATGCCCGATGACAGACAAACTACTAGCATTGTAGCCTAAATTTGTTCACTTTCTTGTCGGATTAGTGCCAAGATACCCAGACTGGCCAAAGAAAAGGTAAAGTTTCACTCTACCTCGGCGTCTTCGATTTTTTTTAAGGCCACAAAATTCGCAGACAAAATTACAGGAGCGCACTTATGCCCACGTTCCACTAGAGTGACAAACAAAAACCACCAACACGGACAAGCCTCTAACACATGCAGCATGCTCGCGATGGTACCTTTGGCAGACGTTTGATCGTTCGGTGCCCGCCAAGAAGGCACGAGTGATTGCAAGCCTGCCAACGATACCCTCGCGTGCATGATGCGTGTGTTAATAACCTCCTCTATACTCGTAACACCTGGCGCTCCGACGACGGAGCCATAGAGTGGCCGGTCGCAGATTGGGAGCGTGAGGATCTGGTAGCAGAGAGCATTTCTTGGGGAACTTGGTCGTCAGCCCAAAGCTTTTGCAGCGGCGAGGACCCGGAACATGGTTTTCAAACCCGACGAGAAACAAAGAGGTAGCGCGAGGAACGCGAGAAGCACGATCGGACATTTAATCGCTCGGGAGAAGTATGTTTAGGCGTCTCGCCGCAGCGGGGCGCCCGTCACGTGGCTCTTCTCTCATCATTGTTTTCCGCTCTACCTTTTCAAATTCGGCGGTCATTTCTCGTGGTGATCTTCCAGGCGTTTTCAGTATAGAGGAGGCTATGTTATGTTTGAGCGTAGCATCCTTCAGTCTACGAAGCATATCAAATCGCTAAAGAATCTGGTTTGAGGCTTGTCGCTGTCGGTTGTTTCTGTATGTCGCTCTAGTGAGACTCGGACATTAAGGTTCGCCCTTAAGATTGAAACGCAATAGCTAAGCTTATAAACCCCAGCTTGTTCCCGAGCCGTGAAGATGTGACTGCGTAACCTTACTAAAAAAAAAAACAAAAAAAAAAAACAGACAAAAAAAGTGTCTCTGTTGCTTAGTCGTTAGTGTGTCTGACTCTCAGCCGAAGGGTCGTGAGCTCGAATTCCGACTTCTCCTAAAATTGTCCAATTCTTTTCTCTTAGCCACATGAATTACTTTATAAAGTAAAATTATTTGAGACAGGAGGGGAACCTTAATTTGCATTACATGTCACGTTTTAATAACTTTCATTTCACGAGTGACGTCACGTTTCCCGTGAGCGTTGTGAGCGGATTGAAATCCCCGCGCGTGGTCTTGTGGCTGTGACGTCACGATCTTATCGACCAACCTTGGATTTTTGCCATCCAAACGCCACCGAGGCCGGCTTTTCTGCAACACGAGCTCTTGAAAGCTATCTCGTTTAAATCCCATATTTCCCCCCCAAAGACCGCGCTACCTGGGTTGCACTTTGTTGCGTGGTCTAGTAAAGGCCGACAGACATAGGACGTAGTCTCGACAAATTTACGCGCGTTTAATGGGCGTAATCACGGGATTTGACGGGCGCTTTTTTCACAGAAGGGAAGAGGGAAAGGTCGCCAAAGCACACACGACGCTTTTCGTCGACGTCTCCTCGGCGTTTGGTGCAGTGTAGCCCGAATCGTGCCTTTCATGAGAGGAGGACACATGTAGATAAGCTGCTATATTATTGCGTTCCGCGAGGAGACAGAAACACCTGAATGTTAATAAGCAATCAAAGCCTAATTTGCTTACACCTGTTTGAAAAATGTTCGTTGCAACCGTCAAGTTGCCAAAAACTCCCGGCAGGAGGACGGCCGCGATCTCTGCTCAAAACGCTTCCTTTTGTAATTCTTTTCACATCGCCCGCAACATCGATGGTATTTTTTTTCTGTCCCAGTCGTTCATCGCTTGTTCCAAAGAGATATAGCGATTTCGTACAGTTCGCCGATAAACCGGCGACCGCGACAAGCGAGCTCCCATTTCAGCGGCCGAGTCAAGCCAGCCAGCCGGCCGCATAGCTAGCCAAGCCGATTCTCGAGCAACTTCCGGCTGTCAACTCGGGAGCTGATTGGCCGGCACCGCGCCGTGCGCTTCCGGATACGCCACGCCGAAATACGCCGATGCGCCGAGATCTGTCTCGGTCGGATCGCCGAATACGCGCGTATTTACGCCAACCGAGGAATCGCTCGTCCCGACGCCCGCTGTACGTCGGGATTACGCCCGCCAGAACGCCCGCAAATACGTCGCAAATACGCCCTATGTGGTTCGGGCTTAATACGGGTTTTTTGAGACACCCGAAAAGCGTCACGCGTTCAAACTAACGTTGGCACGCTGCAGCTGGCGTATCGGACACTCATATTGCAAACTTGGAAATAATTTCACTTGATAATTTTAACTGCAGACGCTTATATTATGAACGGCCTTTGCACTTGGGTGCATCTCTGTACGTACGTTAGATAATGTAAAAAAAAACAAAAAAAACCTAAAGTGTTTTGAAATTATTGTGAACGTTGTGGTAGTGTAATCGAATGGTGTTAGATGAACACATTGCAAATTGCGAGCAATCTAAACGCAAATGGTTTTTATATATTTTAATTTATTTAATTTAAAGTAAGTGTACTATAGACGCATAGAGCACTAACCTGAGGCGTGCACATGCTTTTGTAGGAAATCTACGTGGCGAATCTACGCACTTGATATTGTACGCGCTCGCTAGAGCCGACTCCTAATTTAACAAACATCGAACAATGCCTCGCTTGACTTCTATGATACGTCTTAAGTGTAACGACTTTATGTCCAGCATCATCTTATATTTATATATATATTATATATATATATATATTTTTTTTTTTGCTACGCGTAATTTACCAAACTATATTCTAAAATCCCGAATACATGTTTAACTTCAAACATTAGGTATTCAAGTCAAACTCCATTCAAAGCAGCCATTTTACTGCACAATGTAGACAAGTACCTGCGACGCTTAGGGAAGATTTCATGCACTTTCATGCGTGGGCTTAATGATTGCTTTTAGGCTTAAACTTAGCACACTCTTTAGTTTTTACCAAGAGCACACCAAATTGAAACTCGATGCTTCGTGATGACAGGTTGCAGCACAAAACTTAACAAAGGCGCTTTGTTTTTGTCAATTAACTCGCCGAGTTTAGTTGTATTAAAAATAAAAAAAATGCACAAAATAAAATGGGATTGTATATTTTGTCCCATGAACTCAAATCGTTTTCAGCCACTTTCGCGCCTATTTCTTTCACGTCAGCGGTGTAGGAATTGATTGGGCCAAAGGGATCGTTATCGTAAGAGAACTTTCCGCTCGTAAAGGAGACCCGTGTCTCAATGGGAGGTAAAAATAAAATAATAGAAATATATAAAAGTATAACGGAGCCACGGCGACCGCAGACATAGAAGTTTATGACGGTTTCCAAGACTATAGGCTGTCCTCAAACTACAAATCCGTCTATAGTTCCTCCAAAGAAAGCCCATGCCGGCTCCCACGAGACCGAGACGGAGAGACTCAAATACGCTAAAAAATAATCGTGATAGTAATGACAACGATAAAAGAATAAAAACCCCAACAAGTATCGTCTCCCTCTACCGGTGAACAATCAATATCTTGACCGGATATCCAGCGGAAACGAGACCAAAGCCACATATCGCTCGCAGACCAAGTGAAGCAAGAAAACCAGTTTGTGTCATCGATTGCGGCCAGTCTCATAAAAACGCACCTCCAGACGCGCGTGCACGCACGCACGCACGCACGCACGCACGCACGCACGCACAAAGCTCGGTGCCAAGGCCAAAGACTGGACCCATTCGCGGAGCTTTTGTGTCGCTTTCAAAGACGAAGCAAAAAAAAAAATGGATGGGCTTTTTCCAGGCTGACCCAAATTGAACAGGGCCCGTTCGCAATTGGAAAGCATTTGATGGGGAGTGGTAAAATCATCTTGAAGCGAAAGCGACCCCTTTGCTCATTTATGAACGCGCGACCAGCGGCTGCGATAGAAGGGCCAGTAAAACATTGGCTGCAAGATGTCTAAAATGAAGTTCATTTCTTTTTTTTTGTGGGGACAAAGTCGATGAAAAAGGAAAGAGAAAGGGGGGGGGGGGGGGTTGCTGCTTAAAAAAAGAAAGGTCCTAACCTTGATGAGGGTGGAATATTTCGCCGGGTTTTTGGCGACAAAAGCGGAGTAAATCGAACGGATGAGGTTTTTGATTGTTCCTTGCATTTGGCTTGTTTTTGGGACTCGGCTCTAATATGTTGCTGTTTTTTCTTGATTCCCAGTGTCGTTGCGCGTGCGTCGAGTGGGTCATTGACGTATATGATGGCCGTTTTAGAGCCGCAAGTTCAACGATCGCGTTTTCGTTTTGAAGAGTCGACAGATTGTTATGCTCTTGTAGCTGACTTGGCAAAATAGAGACATTTGAAGTAAATGAGAGGTTAGCGAAGAAATGAAGCCAGTGTTTGCTGCTGATGGCGGAATGCCAGTCATTGCAGCGGCCTACGAAGCAGATAACCGCATCATAAGGTAATGAAAAGGCTGCAAAAATGTATAATTGTATACATCTGTAAGTAAACATAGGTACACAATTTTTTTTTTGCACACACACACAAAAAAGTAGAATCACATTGTAGAATCTATACATATAAAGGGTATTTTTTTGTTGGAAACGTAAACCGTTCAACTTTTGGAGGAACTTTGGAGCGTGGTACTGAAGTGGGCAACCAAGGCGC